ACCAGCAGTGAATGAGTGTTTGCCTTTCTCCACATCCTCTCCAGCATTTCATATCTGTTATTTTGATCTTAGGCCAGTCTGACTGGGGTAAGGTGAAACCTTAAGGTGGTTTTAATTTGCATTTCCCTAATTACTAACAATGTTGAACATTTTTTAAGATGTTTCTTAGCCATCTTTATTTCTTCCTTTGAGAACTCTGTTTAGAGTTTATGGTATTTTTCAAAGGAAGGTTTTGACATGAATGGATGGTTGAGGATTTTAGTTTAAAATTAGTGTGGAACTATCCCATCAGATTTACATGAAACCCTTTAGGGACACATCAAGAATTCTCCACTTTGAAACTCTACATATAAGTTCCCCATAAAATGTGTAAAGTATAACCAGAAATTTAAATAATCTTTTCTGTCCTTTAGGAGAATGGCTTGGATGGTGATCAAAAAAGAATACAAAATGAAACACATAGTTTACATCATAATTACCAATTAAGACACATTGTAATGACCCTTGCAATTCACATGGCAAGAATGATATGGATTTACTAGATCTAATTTTTAAATAATCTTGCTGTTTTTTTCTCAGAATGAACTAAAATATAGTTGCTGATATTCAGGTTATAGATATGGAAGACCCTACATTTTCAATATTGATTAGAACTTGTTTGATATCACATGTATTCATTTACATACAAAGTTGGACATCTATTGTTTCTAATTAAATATTTTTTATATTGGAGTTGTGATAAAGTTGTGTTTTAGATGCCTAATCGTTCAAGATAACAAAGTAAATTTGGGTCCCAATTTTGTTTCTATCCTGTAAATTACTGATATAGAACACAAAATCATAGTAAACGTTTTATAATACAGGACTTTGTTAAATAAAACATATCATATTCTTGGATTCCAAATTAAGTACAGATTTAGCATCCTTAACCCAAAAATCTGAAATCTAAAACTCTTTGAGTGCCACCAGGATGCCACAAATAAAAACTTCCATACCTGTCATCCTGTGATGGGTCACAGTCAAAACACTAGGCACACAACACAATTCATTCAGTGTTCCTCAGAGACAAGAGATTGTCTCAGCCCTGTCAGTTGTGATTCATCTTTTCTGTAAATGCCTAGATTCCCTAGCACAAGCCCTCTATCCATGGAGGATAATAAAATTGCATATGTGCAGACCTCACACAACAGAAGAGCAGGTTTTCCATGACACTCTACACTAAAATAAAAATAATTTTAAAAAGAAAGTAATTGTTTATTGGTTGTGTATAAATTCAGAGCCAGGAATGAAGGTGATCTCAAATACCCACAGGTTATCTATATGAATGGCTGAAGGAACAATGCCCTGACTTTCCGAAGGTTCAGTGTACACAAATGTTGCTTCGTGCACAAATTATGTAAAAAAAGAAATTTTTTTTGGTCTTTTTGAGACAGGGTCTCCCTGTAGCCCCAGCTTTCCTGGAACTCATTATGTGGACCAGCCTGGCTTTGGACTCACAGAAATCTACCTGCCTCTGCCTCCCAAGTGCTGGGATTAAAGGTGTGTACTAGAAGAGTTTTCCACACTGTATTCCATAGGGGTTTGCAATCCCACCAGCAGTGAATGAGCATTCCCCTTTCTCCACATCCTCACCAGCCTTTGGTATCATTTGTTCTCTTGATCCTAGCCAGTCTGATTGGGGTAAGGTGATACCTTAGGGTGGTTTTAATTTGCATTTCCCTAATTACTAACGATGTTGAACACGTTTTGAGATGTTTCTTAGCAATCTTTATTTCTTCCTTTGAGAACTCTCTGTTTAGATCTTTAGCTCATCGTTTAATTGGGTCATTTGATTTCTCGATTCTTTGTTTTTTTGAGTTCCTTATATATTCCAGATGTTAAACCTCTGTCAGATGTGTCGCTAGTGAAGATTTTTTTCCCATTCTGTGGGTTTTCTCTTCACTTTTCAATTGTTTCTTTTGCTGTACAGAATCTTTTTAGTTTAATGAGGTCCCACTCATTGATTGCAGACCTTAATTCCTGAGCAACTTCTGAATTAGGAAATCCTTTCCTACACCATATCCTGTAAGTTACTGCCAGTAATTTCTTCTAATAGTTTCAGGGTTTCCAGTTTCACA